TTTTTTTTTTTTTTTTTTTTTAAGAGAGAGATTTTTGGTACAGGGAACACCCACTCATCAGAGGAAAAGAGAGACAAAGAGTAAGAAGTCACCTCCCAGAGGGGATGGCCACGCCACAATCCCTTCTCCATTCTCCACTTGGGATCCTGGGCACACACGCACACACGCACACACACCCAGCTTGAGTTTTACGCCGCTGGATCTGGGACTCAAACTGTGGTCGACTATGTGGGAGTCCAGCGACGGAACTATGACACCATCTGCTGGCCCCTCTTTTTTTTTGTCTTAGTATTTTTCTACAGTTTATTATAAAGTTATCAATGTCAAAATATTTTCATTCTTTGCTTCCGTTCCTGTTTTCTTGATCAGTTCTTCTTTTTTCCTTCAAAACACCGGAGGCAATGAGATACTGTGAGCACTGCGACTGCGGGGCCTGAACCTTCATCTCCGGTGGTCTGCATATTTTCTACACCCAGCAGTGACCCTGGTGTTCTCCACCACCATCTTCTGTGACAAGTTTCAGGAAACATATCTCGGCAACCTTCATGCCGTCTTCGAAATTCAGGCCTTGTTATGACGGGGCCATGCAGGCAACACAAGCTGGTAAGGATGCTGCCTCCCATTCTAAGGCAAGGCCTGGACTGGGAAGAAACTGAGGCAGGGCCCAGTTTACGAGCTCTCCCTTGTGTCCTTGAACTGGCCGGTATTTAATTTCTCTGCCATGAGTTTTACTGTTATTACAGTACCCTGTAAGGGTAAAACATCACCCCCAACCATTGCAATAAAGCCAATTAGTGATCTTGTAGGAATGTGGTTCCCTAAGACTGACAGGAGGATCAGGAAGTTTAAGACTCCCCCATCTGTCTGTTTTTAAGCCAAAATTAACATATAGATTATGTTAGTATAAAGCAAATTAGCATTAGAAGCATATGTAGACTGAGTTAGTTTAAGGTTAGTTTTACTTACATACCCCTTGTTAAAGCTACAGGCCAAAGTTAGCTCATGCTAGGCAAAGTCAGCACATTCACCACATAACAGAGACTCAGAGATAAAACAAAAGAACTCACTAATTGACAAGACTCAACAAACAAAATGCAGGAACCCACAGATTTATTAGAGGAAAAAGCCTGGATGGGACAACAGAATAAACAAAGCTGAGGGCTCCACAGAAAGATTAACCATTTTAGCTGGGAGCTCTTATCTAAAGCAACAGGTAGCTTTCAACTACAAAGAGTTTCTCATCTATGTGCTGTTGACTATGAAAAACTGCTAATAAAACATCCTGTGTTGTCTCCTGAGCTACGAGATCATCTTCCTTTCCCATATAAGATCATAGACTCACC